CGTCTGTGACATTTTTGAATATTTTTTTTTTATTATTCCAGGCTGGTTTTCAATTTCCCTTTAGCTCACCTCGTTGGGCTCCGTTCCGTCCTCGCTTTGGACTGGATCCGAGGTTTTCCACAGCCAAAACGCACGCGGCTGAAACACGCCATCCCGAGTGTACATTGCAAGGAGTGGGTGCCTGGTTAATTTGCTCCGAGGCAAGTGACCTCTCCCCCTGCCTTCTGCGAACGGGTGGGCGAGCAGCATGAAGCACCGTGTTTCAGAAAAAGCATCCGCGTTACATAACGCATTGCAGCAACTATGAATTCCTTTAAATGCTGTGGATTTGTGTATCAACTGCGTAACACATTCATTTTCCTGGCTTGTTCCTAATCTCATTCTCACCTTATTCGCTCGGGTATTTTTTTTTATTCAATGTAATGTAATTAATGTTTGGGCTGCAACAACAACAAAAACAATCAAAGTCACAATGACTTATCGAATTTCAATGCCGCGATAACGTTCATTTGTCCATCTTAACTCGCGAGAACGGAGGGCCGCTATTAATCCGTTGCCATGTCAGCTTTGGGCAATTGTCGAGTGCTACGATTTTAATCGCCGTTGACCGACACTGGCGCATCGTGGCTTACTCTGAGAAATATCATGGCACGCGACTGATTAAAGCAGCACTTTTTTTTTAGAAAGCCTTTTTTTAATTAGGTGGATATGTGAGCTAAATAATTAAAGCAATGAGCTGGCACTGCAAAGATTCTGGGTTCGAATCCAGATTTTAGCCATCCATAAATAAACCTGGGTTCTCGGGAAGAGTGAGTTGATCGGATTTAGTTCCAGCCCTGCAAATAAAACGCAGTTTGATTTAAAGCTTTCGTGACTGCAGGGATTCATATTCTTGGTTATTTCAGTAAAGTCACGTAGAAGAGAAATAATTAAATAATATTTATATAAAACAATACAAATTCTCACGACGTTTCGACTGCAACACAAGCAATCATATGATGATTGCTTGTTTATATTTTATTATTTTATTATACCCCTTCTACGTGACTTTACCGAAAGAACCAAGAATATAAAACGCATTTGTTTGACTAGAAAGCGGAAAAAACATATCTTTCAAAACGGGACCTGTGGAAAAGTGTGCCCCATCTAGTTTGTGCCTTAAAAAGGCCCCTGGAAAGGATCTCGGAAGCAGTTCTGTGATGTCATCTTCTGTGGACCATTCTTCAACACGGCGATGCACACTGCTGTACGAGAGTTCCGAACGAACGTGTCTCGTGATGTGACCTCATTCTCATAATTATAATTACATCTTGACTTAAAGCTTTCGTGACTGCAGGAATTCATATTCATTGGGTCTTTCGGTAAAGTCACGTAGATAGGTTCAAATTAAATAAAATAAATTAATAAAAAGTTGTAGTTCAATTATGATTTGATTCTACATGTAGTTATAGTTTTTTGTTATTTTCTTTGAATCTATCTATGCTGACTTTACCGAAAGACCCAAAGATAATTATAATTACATTTGAAAAGGGAATCGCAACGTTTAAAGATAAGTTGCACGTAAGTGTTGAAGTGATATGTCAATTGCATCCTCTCTAAAGAAAAAACGTTATTTATTTTATTTATTAAATCTGCAGCTATTTCTCGGCATCCGGCCTCGAAACTGCGGTAAACCCAAAGCAATACACGCTCGGCACGAGGCGGGCAAGACAATGGTGAGTCATCAATGCCCATCCCAACATCGGGCCCTGTGTTGTTGATGTAAATGATATGAAACTCCCATGCCAATTTATGTATTTGTTTATCCGTTACTCAGGATGATTCGTGAGACGTAATTTCTTACATCACTCGTCACGATCTGCAGCAGTGCTTCCAGCTTGAATGTTTTCCTGACTTTTGTAGTAGGGAAACAATGCGATGCCAATGAATGTTGAATTTTCGGAGTTAGAAGACAACATTTCCCGGTCAAATAGTGCAAAGCCTCACAGCAGGGAGTCGTATTGCTGTGAACTCTTGAGGCTGTCCCGTGGCTGTCGGGATTTTTTTTAATGGAACTACGACTTCGGTGATTCTTACGGTGCTTTGTGCCGTCTCGATTTGCGTTCGACACACATGTGTATATGCCGCCGTGCCGCCTCATTGGGGAAAATGGAAGGCAGGCTTAGAGGAAGACAAAAAGACGAACGCGCGCGTTCATTCATCACGCCACGCACGGTGTGATGAAATCACGGTGTGGACCCAGCTCGGCACGGGCGGGGGGGACGTCACGAGAGGAAGTGCTGCTGCACGTTGACTGTCAACCTCCGAACTCGAAGCTGCCACAGATGGAGAGCAACGTGGAAACTTAGTTTTAGCCATATCAGTTGCTATGCATCGTCGATATTTAAAAAATAAAATCGTTGTAAAAACACAACGTTGCCATCCTTCGAACAGGCACAGCAAACACGACGCACCTTTGTTCAATTGACGTCCACCTGCGAAGCTGGTGGGACGGTAAAGCCTGCGGGAGCCGGCGACTGCTCTCCCCCACGTGCCAAGGTGTTTTCTCCAAGCACTCAGGCTCCCTCCCATTTGTTGCCAAACATTTTAAACAGAAACCAGCATTTTAAAAAATAAAAATCACCATCACAAATGTAAGTACGTTGAACTTTTTTCGCACCGTACATCAGCCAACGGAAGGTGCGAATGTCAAACAATCGGGGCGCAATGCACTACGACGACTGGCGTCGGAGTGGATTTGGCTACGAGGTGGTCCAGTTGGGGGCGTGTTGTGGCCTCTATGGGGGGCGAGGGGGGGGCGAGCAGTAGCAGGAGCAAGTCGTGTTTCGCTTTCTCGGTGACAAAATTAGGTTTTCTTGCTTTGCACCGACCTTGAGAAAATTATCTATAAAAATGGGGTTTTGTGCCCGCAGGCATTTGGGTTAGTGGCACATTGTAGCCGATAACCTATGAATGTTGCAGGCGTGCTGTTTGTATGTCAGAACGGATGTTATTAGGTTTACTCCCCTGCCTCCAGTTTTCTTTTGATGCTCGTTGGATTGCAATGTATGGTCTCTGCTTGGCTGCCATATATATTTCATTCCCTCAATCTCACGTAAATTATCTGAGATGGTTCTCAGACACGGCTATTACCCAATTCATGCACTGGTTTTTTTCACTCGCAATTATGAAATGGCACCTTTTTAGATCCCTGTAGCTTGAAACAACTGGGTAGTCAAGTGGTCGTTGTGCTCTTCGCTGCCTGGAGTCAATAGTTCGATTCTCGATGCGGCTACCAAGTATTGCACTAGGAATGGAATTGCAAAAAATGTACTGCATGCTACAAAGTGGATTTTTTTTCTTCACAATACAGTACGGCGTACGTAATCATACAACGGCTTAGCACTTCGTCCGTCCGTCGCTAGATGCAGGCCTCCTCGTGGCTTTTTGGTGCTGAGAGTTTGTAAAATCATACTTCACCACACTGGTCAGGTAGTCGGTTGGTGAAGGGGGGACACGCGAGATCAACTCAGATTTTGCTCTGAATTGATGTTGGCCGTGGTTTGGGAACCAACTGGGAGTGGCCCGGGTTTCATACCGCAGTGCACCAACCACTGACATGCGTTACATACAACGTAATTATTTCGTATGCCGTGCACTGGGCGGCTCTGAGGACAAAGGAATTAGTTGGCACTGCTGAGAAACATGGGTTCGAATTCAGGTTTCAACCACCCATGATTAAACAACGTTGGGATTTTTTGCGAGCTGGCAGTGTCAGCCTGGTCACTAATAACTGTAATGGAGAAA